CCACTCAATAGCTCAAAGCTTTATTCATAATTGACATTTGAATAATCATTTGTTTCTGCACATTATGATGTGTGTTAGTTTTTCCTGCTTGGGTTTCCTGACTGGTTGGACAGCAAAGGGTAGACACTTTGACACACACACACCACACACTGTGCTGGCTCGGTTATTTGTCAAATGACCTATTAGATTCCAGTGGTGGCTGCGAAGGATTGTTTCGAGCATCTGTGATGCAAACATTTCTACATTATTACCTTGGTCACAGCCCCTGTCCTTTGCACAACAAATGAGAATGAGTGTCGGTCACATACTTCTCCACTGGACTGTTCAGACATTAAAAACAATGGAAACACTTTAATTTGACATGTTCTCATTTATTTTATTGCAATTTCTGTGGCATGTTGCCATAAGCCTGAGGGCACAGTTATTATTTCATCATTATGTTATTCCCTTATTAAGCATTGTCTACTTACAACCCCATGTCTTCCAGATATGATCAGTCCAACTCAAGAATAATTTCTACTTGTTTAAATTGAATTTTGAATTTTTTAGAAGCTGGATAAGATTTTCATCTCTGGTTTTATTTTGTGGTTATTTATTTTCTGTGTTTTTTGTATCAGCTTTGGTAGACCAAGCATGTATTCCTATGAGTCTCATCATTTAATGTTAATACCTCAGAATGTCCTTTGTTAAAAAGACATATTGCAGCAAAAACACGTGATGACGCAGGCACATGCAGTAATGTATTGTGAAAAGGAACAGGATATTGGGTCAACTCTCAAACCCCCCCCCCCCCCCCCCCCCCCCCCCCCCCCCCCCCCCCCCAAAAAAAACACATATGTCACACTTAAAGAGATGCTCATTGGCACAGATTCATTTGGGTGTCGAGCTGTTGTCATCTTTGAAAGCTACATAATGGCAGGTGAGTGTCTCATAGGTGGAAATGATGAAAAAAAACAAAATAACCTTAAGTTGAATTCATAAACGATAAAATGCACCCTACAGCCCTTATTGTGGCTAATGTAAGCTAATATTAGCAAACTTTCGGTACTACTGTGTCTCTATATTTTAGTATTTACTATCTAACTGTCACTTGTAGCCACAGAAGCTGCTGTTCAGTAATATTCACTCAGGCTTGCTTTAAAGCTGAATAATGCCAATCAGGCAACCGCAAATTGTGGGAAATAGCTGATTGTAATTTTTTAAATCAGTTGCCAGAAAAATGTTCCCATTGTACATTTCTGCAAACCACGGATTTGTTACATTTGTACGTTGTTATGTTGAAGCCACATTGATTTAGACGGGAGGGTGGAGCTATAGAGGAGCAACGGAAAGCTCTAACTCATAGGATGTGGTGAGACCTTGCAGACACTCAAAGCGACCACGCCTTTGATTAGAAGTAACTTTGAGCCTTGATAAAAATTTAAAAGGGTACATTATATAGCAATTTGCCCCTCGCACAGTTGTCACGAACGGAAAATTAGCTACACAGACTTAAACCATTTGTCGTACCAGGCTGTAAATATGTTTATTTCACCTGTAAAGTTTGGCATTTTTAATGGGGGTCTATGGGGACTGACTGGCTTCTGAAGCCAGCCTCAAGTGGCCATTCAAGGAACTGCAGTTTTCCTTTTTCAGCTCTGGAGGTTCTCGCTTTGTTGAAACTTTGTTGAAACTCAACACTTACTGTGGTTAACTTGTGGTTAGATTTGGGCACAAAAACCATTTGGTTGTGCCCATCGTGTCTGGGTATGAAAACGCAGTTTTGGTGGCACAGTCATGGCCAGAGAAGCCATCGATGTTTCAATACAAAATAACCACTCTTCATGGCACTATCGAGGAAGGAAAAGCAGCAATGTCACATGCACATGCCCTCTGCATACTGATGACAAAGTCACCTCCTATTTTAGAAAAATTGATATGATAGATTTGAAATGTACAAATGTAGCGTATTCATGGTTTGCATAAACGTACAATGCCAACATTTTCTTCTGGTGACTGGGCTGAATTTTTTTAAAGCTTGAAAAGTAATATGCATCCTCTTGCAGTCCTTTTCCCTCTTTTAAAGTCTAATTTTGTTTAATGCCAGAAATGTTTTACGGTGTCAATCCTGAGCAACAGAGGAGGCAGCATATAGAGCAGCTTCTGCAGCTTCAGTTATCTTAAACATGTCAGAGGTTAAATCAGTGTTTTAGTAATGTAATAATGTATATATATCAATCTGTTTTCCATCCATAGCCAAGTCAATCATCTTCACCTTTGACTATGATTATTTGAATGATACCATCCACGACAATCAAACACCCTATGTTCCGGATCCAAAGATGGTACCATGTGAGATAAAACTGCTGGCTCCTACAGCAGCTGTGACGCTGTGTCTCGTCCTCATAGTCATCTTTTTCCTGGCAATAACAGGGAACCTGTTAGTGGGGTTGGTGATCGGCACCAGCAGACAGGCACTGACTTCATCGGATGTGTACTTGTTTCACCTGACAATCGCAGATGGTCTGATGGCCCTAACCATCCCGTTCTGGGCTGTAGCACTCACTAATGGATGGATCTTTGGAGACTTCATGTGCAAGCTCCTCAGCCTCGTCATCGAAGCAAACTTCTACACCAGCATTCTCTTCCTGGCCTGCATTAGCATCGATCGTTATCTTGTGATCGTGCACGCCAGCGAGAGTCTAAGGACTCGTCAGAGGATGTGCAGCCGGCTCCTGTGTGCAGCAGTGTGGGCCTTCGGTTGGGCCCTCGCTCTGCCTGCACTTTTCAACGATGCCTTCAGGCCAGACCCTGACAAAGAGAGGATGGTTTGCTCTGAAAGCTTTGACATCGGCAGTGCCTCCTCGTGGAGGAGTGCCACTCGCGGGTTCCGCCATATTTTTGGTTTCATACTTCCTCTGATTGTCATGATAACATGCTACAGCATCACCATCGCAAGGCTGCTGCACACTCGCGGGTTCCAGAAGCACCGCGCCATGAAGGTGATCATAGCTGTGGTGATTGTGTTTCTGCTGTGCTGGACGCCATACCACATAACCATGATGGTGGACACACTCCTGAGGGCTGATCTGATACCGTTTGACTGCGCTTTCAGGAGATCAATGAACATGGCTTTGGTTATAACCTACAGCCTGGCCTTGTTCCACAGCTGCATCAATCCCGTCCTCTACGCCTTTGTGGGAGAGAAGTTCAGGAACAATATGATGCGACTTCTTCAGAGGAAATCCCGACAGGAGAGGGTGTCGGTGTCAAAGATCAGCAGGTCAACATCTCAGACCTCAGAGAGCAATGGAACTGTTCTCTGAAGCCTCAGTGGACTTTAAAAAATAATGTTTAGCATTGTTTATTGTCCCTTTTTCTCTAACCCCAAGGGCTAGGGTTAGGGTTAGGGGTTATGCTAACCCTAACCCTAAGTCAGAGAGGAAGTAATTTCCATCTGAAGTCTGAAAATCTGTAATATATTGAGTGTCACACATTCTCTGCTTTTAATTTGTGGTGCACTGCTGCCATCTATTGAATTTACTGTTGTCTGCATCCACTATGGACAGCTGTAACCCTCAAAGCCAATCAAAACTATGTTCATTTTTTGTATTGATTTCCATTTTTCTTGCTGAAGAGTGGACTGGCATTTGGATTCTGGATATGATTTCAATGTTATCTTGGAGGACATGTATTTTAAATACACAGGAGGAATTCAACCCTTCACTATGTCAGTGCTTCTATCATCCTGCTGATGTTTCTGTGTTTATTTATATTCCCTATAAGGTTTGTATACACTATAAATACTGTTCATCATTACAAATAAAAGGCTTTGCAATCACTCCTGCATTGCCTGATTTAATCTTGTAGACCTGTGGTTGGTTAATGTTCACAGGGTCTTTCTAACCAATAAAATATTAACAGCTCATCATGTGGAAATAATCTTTTGTGTTCTTGGCTTAACAAAATACAAACATATGTGACAAACCTGCAAAAGGTAATGGAGTATCTGATGCTTGAAATGGATACCAAGCAATTTTCCACATCTGCTTTTCATAATCAAGATAAAGAGTTCACTCTTGACTTTGAAAACAGAAATTTAGAAGGACAAGAATGAACTAACCAAACTGCATCTGCTTAAGAATTAGTGCTATGTCTGGTACCACTAATGTACCTTGTGGTAAGATTTTTTTGCCATTAACTTTTGATAATTTTGATGCTTGTAAAGGGAGCAACACTGCAGCATGTACAGCTGCCTCAACTACATGTAGAAAATATATTTACATATCATTTAAGTAAAATTTCTTTAAAAATGTCATATGTTTTACTGCATCTATGTGTGGACCAGCAGGATTAACAGAAATGTTCGAATATTATTGCAAACTCTTTTTCTGTTATCCAAATTGCTACATCTGATTTCTTGGTCTGCTTCTTTTTAGCTTATACACAATCGACTTACAACAATTATGTGTTGGAGCAGGTTTTCAGATGCGAGTTGCCATGGCCCATATCTCCAACATTTGGCAACACACACCAAAACTATCTCGACTATTGAGTAGCACTACAGGTAATGGGAAAAATCTGTGTTTTTATTTTTATTTTGGGATGAATTGTCCCTATATTACTTTTTTTTTTTCAGGTTTTTTAGGTGATATTATGTTATAATATTATACAGCATGTTATGTATTTAATATCATATTACAACACAAATCTGTATATTACTTTTATAACAATTGCTTTTAGAATAATTATCATAATAATTATTTGTATTAGTCGTTGCACTATGATTTGTCCAGCAGATGGCGGGCAAACCTCTCCCAAAAATCGCCTACAAAAATGTGAAATTAAGCATTAATTTCTGATCTTTATCGTCTTTAACTTGTCTTGGATTTTATTAAACATGAAAAAAATACTTAAAAGAGATTTCTTTTTTCATTTCTTGTTGTTTTGTTCAATAAAGTTTTTACCTGCTATGTCGCAGCAGTAAAACTGCAGAACTACATTTCCCAGAAGCCACCGCAATGTGAAAATAATGGGAAAGCCTTCTCGCGCTGAAGCTTCAGATGGAGCACAGCACACGAGGTATGTAACGTTTACTCAGTTTCTTAATACCCTAAAATTACAAACAACCAAACGGCTTTTTCCCAATAGAAAGCTATCTTGTTGTTGCGTACACTGACTGGCAGGGACTTGCCTTAAATATTAGGTTTTTTATTTGTGCCAACAAAAGCTATCTTACAAGAGTGCTTTGTTTTTGTACCTACAGAACGTACGCTAGCTTACTAGCTAGCTATAATTTAGTACATGTGTTATAAATTATGCCTTAACGTGATTTCACGCACGTCTGACTCGTTGTGACACGCATACAAGCCAGCAGCCAGGTTTAGCACATTAGCAGCTAAAGTAACAGTGAGTGAAGCTCTGGCAGGCTAACGCACTGTGTTACCCAGTGAATGGCTTGTGCAACTTGTTTGCATTCCCCCCTAAAAATTCTTGACACGTAACTGAGACCATGCAATCAGTTCAACTGGGGAACACTGTGTTTCACATGCATATGACTCATTAGAAAGTACCTCTACTTAGGTAGAATAAATGCATTATTTGTTATTAGAATTTAAAGTGAAAATATAAGTGGGAACCCTTGATGAACCCAAGCATGTCCCTGTGTTGTGTAGCAGATTATCTCACTTGTTTGCTGGTCTTCCTACCACTATATAAGTAGTTTTGGATTTTTGGCTGCTTACCTAAATGACCAAGCTATTAGAGGACATCTGCTTGGACTCTAGGAACTTGTGACAAGCATTTTTCATCACTATTTCCACACCAAAACAGTTGATTTATGGAGAAAATAAGCCACAGAATCATAGTAATAATGATTAAATGTAGCCATGTTTGAATTAAAGACATAGATCATCCTGAAACCAAATATACATATTTTTCCTCTTACCTGCAGTGCTATTTATCAATCTAGATTGTTTTGGTGTGAGTTGCAGAGTGTTGCAGATATGGACAGTAGAGATGTCTGCCTCCTCTCCAGTATAATGGAACTAGATGGTACTCAGCTGCTTGATGTGCTCAAAGTGCCATAAAACAGATTTGAAAAACACAGCAACAATGTCTCTTTCCAGAAATCATGACCCGGTTACTCAAGATAATCCACAGATCTTGTTGTGAGCAACATCTACTGACCTAGCACCAATAAGCTAGTTAAGCCAGGCCAAGACTACAAGAGTTTTGGGCTGATTTATCCCTGAATCACTACTACGTGTAACGTTTACAGATCCAGTCCAAGTTGCTCACAGGATCATCACGGTCACCCTGATTTTAAGCATTTTTGGTATTCAGGATTTAAAATCTGGATGATTATAATCATTATTTCGTCAATACAGAACAGCTGACGGTGTTGCCAAACTGCAGTAAACATTTCTAGCCCTTGTGGCTAATGTTAGCTACCGTTCTACTGCTGACAGATATTGAAACTGAAGGTTAAAATGTCACTTCTTCTTGCTGAAGAATAGACAACCAGTGTTGACCTCATCTCCCCAACCCTTTTTCTCATAAAGACTCGTTTAGCCTTCTGCTTCTGTTTTATCTTATTGCAAAGCATTGTTAACATCACAGCAAGTTGTCACATCAGGTCAGTCCCCTTTTTGTGTACATCAGCTTCCCCACAGGATCACATGAGGTGGTAACGGCTCCCTCTGGCATGATAATATTAAGATTATCCTGTAGTGTGTCATGCACCATTTTGTCAATTCTTGTAGTGTGTGTATGTTTGAGATTAGAGAGGAGAACATCTGTAAAGTTTTTCCTACTGTGCTTGATGCAACCAAATTTAAAAATCAGTTTGAATTTAGGATTAGGATCAGGATTCCTGTGCAGGATTCCAGTAGTCTGAGCCTGGCTTACCATTACATCACAGCCAGGGAGGAGACTGTTTACATCTTGAGCTATCATGAGCACGAGCGTCACGTCTATGAATACCTGCACGCTTTCTTCTGCACAGTGATCAGTGGGCGGGTGTTTTTTGGGAGAAAGAAAATAGTTCGTACAAGAAACTGCTCACAACAAGGTCTGAGGATTATCTTGAGTAACCGGATCATGTTTCCTGGAAAGAGACATTGCTGTTGAGTTTTTCAAACGATATTTTTTGGCGCGTTGAGCACCACAAGCTGAGTGACATCTAGTTCCATGATATTGGAGACTTGGCAACTCACACACCAAAACAACACAGCTGCGCTCTACTGTAAGCTGTCTGCACAGTGTCAAAACAGTCTGATACTAACTGACGACATTGTTGTCTTTTCAGGTTTAACAATGACACGAAACCCAGCTGCAGGATAGCTTGCTGTCGGGACATGTAACGGTGTGGAATGGAGCAAAGGTCAACAGTTTCTCTTACATGCAAACAACAGCATGTAGCATTTTAACCAAATTGTGATCACCCTGTTAAATGGTTCATTTATACCATTTCAGTGTCCCCATGCACAGAGAGACAGCTTGATTGAAACTGTTTGGTTGTCAACATTTGTTTCCTCATCTCAAATAGGAAGCTTTTCAACGTCAAAACAAATCCTCACATGGTGATTTGACACAGCAGAAAAAGTTTGACTCTGCCTCACAGAGTCGTCCAGCTGACACACAATGGTTGCAGATGACACAGCAGGAAGTGGGGACAGATCAGAAGAGGAGAAAGAGATGGACGTGAAGGCGCTTACATCTGAAGACAGCGCAGGACATGAAGATGGAGACGTAGAGATGGCTATCTCTGCCTCTGAGGGCCTGTCTCCCTCCGAAGGTCCCCCAGAGGAAACCAAGGAGGCCAGAAAGTGGAAGTGGGCTGTAATATTCTTGTGTTTCTATGGGTTCATGTCGTCGGTAAAGCCTGGGGAGCCCTTCATTACACCGTATCTACTCAGCGATGAGAAGAACTTCACCAGGAAAGAGGTCAGTGCTGTCCTCAGGCTGCATTTGTCTTTGTGCAGTGACGGTAAATATTGACCAAAAAAGCCATAAATGAAAGTCATTCCTGTCATTGTTTTGCAGAGTTGAACCCCAGGTTCATACACAAAAAACTGTCCAGAGAGTCCAGAGTAAACCTGTCAGACTCTTTCATAAGTTTTTCTACATGCAGTCAAGCACTCATTACACAGTAGAATTAATGAATGCCTGGTGGGGAGTCTGCTGATCCATCTTACTGTGGTCAAAGTTCACATTCCTCCAAAGTGGGTCAGTGAGTGCAATAGCTACATGTAAAGTTTACAAGAAAGGAATGGCTAATAAATCATCAGTGGACTATGATTTGTATATTTTGTTAGCTAGTTTCTTTTTTCTGAATTAACTGTGACCTTGCAGTAAAAGTTGATTTCCTGTCAAAAAGTCAGGAGAAAATGTTACATATTTTCAGCATCTGTCAAAATAGATACAAGGGTGTGTGGAAAACACCCTTTGCGAGATTAGAATGGCAGTTTTGCAGCTCAGCCACCTCTTGCGGACACATTTCACCTTAATGTTTGTTTATATCTGAAACAGTGTCGCTCAGAGTTGGACATAAATCTGCTAGACACTCAATAGATAACCATTTTTCTTCCAACTGGTGAGTGAAGCAAATCTAGCAGCCACTTGCATATTTTCCCAGCAGTTGCCTGGTGGCTGGTGATAATTTCAAACCCTGGTGTCACCGCCATATCCGGCAAAGTCCTGTATTTACTAAATCCAAGGGAATAAGCTGCTCCTGATTTAAGTTATTTAGTTACATGTGTAGCCCAGCAGTGTATACAACCTAAAGCTGAACCCGTCAGACAGGCAGTGTCTGACAGAGAGATTTTGTACTTCTTCCAGTTGAACCAGTTTCACTATGTTGAAATCAGATGTGTTTTGAGTTTAATCCTGGGTTTTCATATCATGTTCTATTTTTAAAATATAGTTGTCAGGCTTGTTGTTGTCAAACAAGCATATAATTGAAACTGACATGCTGTTTGGATTTGTGTTTGACATGTGTGAAGAGTTTGTTCTAATGTAGTGCAGAACTGTCAGGATACATACAGTAAATTAAATTGCATCAGTTTGATTAGGATTGTAACTATCATTTTCATTAGCGATTAATCTGCAAATTATTTTCTCGATTCATTGGCTAATTGTTAAGTTGATAAAATGTCAGAAAATAGTGCAAAAACAATCCAGTCGCGTCTTCCAATGTCTTGTTTTGTTTTACCAACAGTCAGAAACACCAGATATTTTATATATATATATATATATATATATATAATATTTT